CAGAGTGTGGAGCTTGATGCAGACCACTTTGCAGAGGTGGAAAGCAGCCCTTCAGCCTGGAGAAGGCCAGCTGGTGCTGGGCAATAAGAGTTCTGGCTCCAGGGGGTCTGGAGACCCACCCAAGCCAAAGCCAGGAGATGGCTTGCATGTGCCCACACCAGAGGAAGTTGAGGCTGAAGCAAGAAGGCTAGCCAGCCTGAAGAAGGCCATCCAGACTTTGAGCAGCTCCGTGGACCAGCGGGCTGTCTTGAAAGGAAGCCTGTCATCTTTGCCAAATGTGTCTGATGCCACAGTCCAGACACATTTGGCTTGCTTGGATGCAGGCCTGAAGAAATATGGTGATGCTAAGGGAGGAAATTCGTGGCCTACCCTCCAAAGGCCAAGCCTGGAGAAGGCTCAGCTGCTGTGGCACAGCTGGAGGAGAAAAAAGCTTTGTGTGAGGGTGACTTGAAGGCCAGGCTTTGAACAAGTCATGGGCACCCCTCAAGCTTTGGGCAAGGAATGAAGGGATGTGAAAAGCCTGAAGAAGGCAGATTTTGCAACAAGTTTTGAAACAAGCCTGGGGAAGGCAGGGCAGCTGCTGAGACAAAGCTTTTGAGCGCAAGGCAAAAATGTCCAAGCCTGGAGAAGGCTATTTGCAAGCTGGTAAAAGACCAGCTGGTTTCACCCAGCAAACAAATAAGCCAAAAAGGCAAAAAGAACATATTAAAAATACAATATATATTTTTTTTTGCAAGACTTGTATAAAGTATGAAGAATTTTTGTGTGAATTATATAGATTTTTTTGTATAATATTGAAACACTAGAAGCTCCAAAATGAAGCTTCCAGAATGAGCTTCTTGACTTCCAAGAAGCTCATCCTGGAAGCCTCAAAACAACACTTCTCAGAGAAAAACATAAAATTTTCTAGAAGCTTCAAAACAGAGCTGGCAGCTTCATTTTGAGTTTCTCAAAATCGAGCTTCACAAATCGAGCTTCTGCGACCTTAAGGGTCTCCGGCAGCTCAAACAAACGATCAGCAGGCGACACACCATCCTTCTCCTCCTTCAACTGGAGAAGAGCGTCCTGAAACTCTTCAAAGCCCAGGGTCTCCCGAGCCAGGAACTGAGCTATGCTTTCACCAGGTCGCCGCTGGAACATGAATTAGGCCGACATAGTAGCAGCTGCGTTTGGCAGGCTACGGCGCACAAGCGGAGAAGCAGCAAGACGTCTCAACATCACCTGAACTCCTTCTTCTCCTTCGACGACATCGACAACAAGCGAGCTGCACCTGTAAGCTTGCTGATCAACTTTGCTGCAACATACTTGCGCTGCGACCCTTTTGTCACAGACAGGAACCAACCAACTTCCTTCACACACCGACGCCAGGTCTTTGAGCTGCCATCCCAACTCGGCACCTCATTGCGATCCTTGACATCGGACATGGCCCTGGAGCAAACACCGCTCCGCTACCAGTGCAGTTGGTATGCACTGGTAGCTTGTCAACACAACAGAAATGCCAACTGTCACAACCAATGTTGTAAGAAGAACACTTCAATGTGCAACAAACAATGCACCCACATGTAATGCCGAATGTAATGCCGACTGAACAGCAAGTGACTCTCCGAGCGAACTCTATCGCTCCTTTTCACTCCATGGCAGCCATCGGATGGCTAAAGGGGCCCCTACGAGTTGGGCCAAGACATGGCATGAAGAACCTGGGTCATGAACTCACGATCGACTGTCGTGTTCGAGGTTTCGAGAACTGCAGAATCTCAACATCGGTGGCACCTCCAGCATCTCCAGTATGGCATCGCGGAAGAATTCGATCCGGGCCTTGGTAAAAGACAGAGCTTGAATCCGCTCGGCTCCACGTTTGTCTTTCCTCCACAACACGACAAGCTTCGAGAGTTCCGTGTTTTGTTGCACCGTGTTGTTCAGCTTCTCGACGATCATCAGTTGGTACATGAAGCGGATGTGAATGCAAGTATTACTTGTACAAAGGATGCTTGACTACAACACCAACCGAAGTGTTTGAATGGTCGAACTGAAGGCGAGCAAGCACATAGTAGATGTATACCGAATATATGACCACGCAATGTCTATAGGTTGTATTTGCTATATATGCTGGTCAGTGCGCAGCTAATTATAACACATCATTTGTGCCGAACATGGTTCAACAAGACTTTTTCAATTATATATATAGGTTTTTGAACCACAATCCCATCCCAGGCTCTGAATCGGACAGTCTGAGCACCTTCTTACAGTATCTTACAGTGGGGCCGGACGGATCTGTCATGATCTGTCTGGATGACGCAACTTGACGCATGACTCGCTGGAAGCGGTTGACCCGTATGTCTGTGTATGTCTGCCAAGCGAGCCAAGTTTCAAATTGCAGTGACCCTATCCAAGGCCCAATCCCTCTGGAAACCGCACCGCAATTGCACCGCATTCAGAAACAAGTCTGTCTGTGTGCGGTTGTGTTTTGGCACACTGCGTGGATACCGTTAGCATTTTCATTATGTTCTTCAATAAGTTTCTGTTTACATTCCCGTCACTAAACCCTGAAACAACACACCATTGTAGTAGGTTCTGTGCAGCACTGCGCGCAAGGAGAGAGACCAAAGGACCAAAGCGCAAAGAAACTTATTTCATGTGAGTTGTGTGCTTTTTTTGGTGTGGGGCATACACTGGATCTGTACTTACGCGGGTGCCTACGCCTGGGCTCCCTTCTGAAGCAAGTGCCTACGCGAGAGGTTCTCTTTGTTAGGTGCCTACGCGGGATGCCTACGCAGGGTACTGTCACCAACTTTAGTCACACCAGGTGACTCGAAAAGAGCTATATATATAATCAGCAAGTAGTGGCCCGATGCGACCGGGTCACATCAGGTTCCTGTTTACAAGGCGTTTACAGCTTTGCTACCGATGGCCAAATAGATTTTGCATCAAGCCGATCCAATTACAGTGTGGAAGCAGCAGCACATAAACAGCACACAACAAGCAGCAAACAAGCAGCAGAAAACAAGAGGCAGCAGCAGCAGCAGCAGCCAAGCAGCAGCAAAAGCAGCAGCCAAGCAGTAGCAGCAGCCTACAGCTTCTTGCCTACGCGCTGCTTCCGCGAGCGCCTACGCGGGGCCTACGCGAAAATAGGTCCATTGATTATGGTACCAACAGGGTGCGCACACTTGTAGCTCAAGAGCCGGTGTGCCAGACCAAGCACGATCAAGCTTTTGACCTCAAAAACCAATGTGCCCCCATAGCTTCGACAAACAAACTTCAAACATCCACTGTAGCCATGTCGTTACAATTCATTTTCATTTTCCTTCCCCACTGGAATTTGCAAGCAAGTGTCAAGTTAAACAACTACAAGCCAACATTATCTTTCCCCAAGACCCTTGAACAACTTTTAAAGAAGTCTGAATAAGAAAACTCAGGCTTTCATGAAAAGTGTGCCTACGCAAGACTGCCTGCGCAAATCTTTCAACACCCACCTACGCAAAATGCTTCCACGACGCCTACGCCCCAAGCAGAACAGCTTCCGCAACTTCTCAACAGTTCCCTTTTTGTATAAACCTAATCATTTGCAAAAAAAACGTGGCTCATGTACAAGTTTCCTTGCATAAAGACACTCAGTGACATTTATGCATGCCCAAGCTTTTGCATAAAGACACTCAGTAACATTGAAGTCACTAGAGCCAAAACCCTAGATACAAAGCAAAACCCCAGACCAAAGGAACAGTGAATATATATATATACCCCCAAATAGATAGAAAAGTTGGTAGATCACTATAGATCCACACCAAAGTTGTATTGGACCCCGTTTTTATCGTTTCTTATCTATTTGGGGATCACTATGTACGGCCAGTTCAGCACTCATCTGCCCAGTATAATCATGCAGCTCTTGTGACGAGACCCGGTGAACCACTCGTGACACCTACACTCCTACACCAGAACGGTTCTTAAACTTATCTCGTGAGACTTGAGCAAGTCCATTGTCACGGAAGAACATCAAACATATAACTGATGTAAAAAGAAAACAGGCCATCAAGCCATCCGTCGAATGCCGTTCATCTATCTTGTTTCAAGGGCCAGCGCGCCGAAGGGAAGGGAAAGAATCGTTTCCATCAAAGAGAAAAAAGCAACATGTACTACAACACAGGCTGCAGCAGGCTGACCACGTAACCTGCCCTCACAGCAGGTCGACCCCTGAGAGTTCGGCCACACTGAGCTCGATATCCAAGTGCTTGAAGCCCACGATCTGGCAGGCTCTGCTTGGAGAGAGGAGCGGGTCGCGAGGGGGTCGAGAGGGGCTCCCCTTATCGTTTGACCTCGAAGGAAGTGCCAAATTGACCGATCCAGACCGAGAACCGAAACACCAAGGAGTGCCGCTTACTTGCCTCCTGTATCCTGTAGCTGCAGGGTGACAATGCAGGTTTACCTCAAGTATGCGATGAGGACATGGCAGGACTCATTCACTGACTGGATCGTGACCGGCGGAGTGTGACGTGGATGATCGTGGATGCCTTGGAGTCTTTTCACACTTCAGTGTTTGTGTCCTTCCATTTGTATGAAACTTTGTCCACCATTCTTGGTAGGTGCCCCCTTCTTCAGATTTTCCGACTCCCCCCACGACTCAGTTTGATCGTCGATCCTGGGATTCAGGGTCGAAAAAGGTCCCCTGGAAGGATGTGGGGAAGCTGCGCCGAGTCCCCACCTCCACGTGTCTGCCCGTCGTAGTTCACCCTTCGCTTCACCCACATGGTTGGTAGTGCCATACTTGGAATTGGGCAAGGGGATGCTAAGCACCTTCCGTCTACTACTTGCATCTACTTGCTGTGAGGTGCATTAGTTATTGCCGAAGAATCAATGGGAACCACTTCAAAAGGCGTTCCGCCCCATCACGAAGTTCATCGGTGCGACAACCGCCTCACAACCGGGCCTCCACCTCCTTGCGCAAAAGGCTGGCATTGCCCATCACCGCCACGATGTTTCCCAAGCCGTCCATGATGCCTCAGAAGCCAAGGCGTTTGTGGTTGCTGTCCGAGCTCCTGTCAGTGATTGTGGTCAGGGTGTTTTTTCTCATCAGTTTTGTTGAATATTGTTTTGGCAATTGTTCACAATGGTTTGTTTTTTGGTGCTCTGGGCACGCAAAACTTGCTAGAATCACAGCCCTCTTGGTTGGTAAACATACGTGAGTCGTGTTACTACCCAGTCGCATTTTACAAGCAAACTCTCCCATTCCAAGGTCCAACAACTCACCCAAACCCACGCAAACGTACCTTTTGAGGCTCCGGTGGCTAACGTCCTCCGACTCCACACATGGCGCGGAGCGAGGCACGCATGGCTGCGACCTGCTTGGGGCTCTTGAACATCACTGACAAACTGGGCGCCGCCTCGAAGAGCAAGGAGAGGAAGTGTTCCTCGGGACCAAAACTACCAATGAAGCATGACGTCGATTTGGTTGAAGCCAGGGTGGGCCAGGTCAGCCGACACTTTTTGGGAACAGGGGAAAGAAGGGTGACCGGTGATAGTAGATGATGACCGATAGTAAACTAACATGGTTTATCAATGCTTGACTTTATTGGAGATCAAGTTGATGGATTGGTTTCTCCCAACTCCTACCAGCTACAAATTCGGAACACAAACAGGTTTGAGCAAATCCAGTTGGGAACATTTAGTTGCATACCGCAAGTAGAGGACTACCATGCCGCCCACTTCTGAAGAACAATCAAGCCATTAAAGTGTCTTTGCCTATAATGATAAATTGATATTGATATTGCCCGCTGCTGAAAACAATGTCATTGCGGTCTTTTTGCCTAGTGAAAAACGGATATCTATTTGATGTGCAGGCAGTTGTGAACAGGGGACGGTCTGTTGGCATATTTGAATCCTTACACGACCAAGTACTGTAACTTTCTGTTAAGCATACGGACCGGATAAATTTGAGCATGAGAGACACATCTCAAGATATTAGACGTTCGATTTGATTGCCCCTAGCTCTGAGGAAGCCTCAGGAAGGAACGCTTAAGTCCTATACAAGTAAAAAACGGGTAGTATGCAAGCCGCTCCAACCATATTCAAGTCAAGCTCAGTTCTCGAAATTAAACATATTATTTGCTCACAACGCAGGTACGTCTGGCTGATCAGGCCAAACACCAGCACGGAACTTGACCCTCCAGTCAAGTCCATGGGTGATCCCTTGGCATTGTTAAAACCATCTAGGGCCAAAAAGGGCTCCCTATGATTAAAAGGGCGGTTACACACACACACACACCCGCCACCAGCACATTGAGGAACGTTTGAGGAAATCAATTGTTCTATGATGCCACTCATCCCTATTACATCCTACTACAATGCTACAAACGAATTTCCACTGGACCCTATTACAAGTAGCTACTGGCACCCTCAAGCAGTAGCAATTCTTGCCTCCAAGCCAGGAGGGCAAGTTCTTGCAACATGGTGCCTCACTGTGCTCAAAGCAAAAATTGATTTGTCATCAAATGACGATCGTTCTCGCACAGAAACCGTTCAGGCGCCTCAAAGGACATGTGACATGTGGGGCGTAGAGTGGGCAGGAGCAGACCCTGAGTAGGTTCTGAGTAGCTGACACATACTTTCACAGTAGGCGAATGACTCGACACGATAGGCGCTTTTGCTTCTTCAGAAAGCCTCGTTCTGACTCTGACCAACGGTGATTCAACAATGGGGTGCTCTGCAAACAGGACCAGCTAGAATCAGCTAGAACAATTCGGACGTCGTTGCCTCAAACGATGAACAGTATTAACACAGTTGACCATGTGACACAAAAAAACATCTTCGCAAACATGTTCGAGATTCGCTAGACTCAGACTCCATGTTCCATGCTGATGAATCGTCGTCCACTGCGGCCAGTGACCAACCCCGAGATCCGCCCGGCCCCGGCCATCGGTGAAAAGATCCGCCAGCTCCGAGCATCCCCGGCGGCTTCGCGGGAGCCCCACTCTTCGAGCATCATGCTCCAAACATCCTATGGAACAACAACAACAACAAGGAACAAAAGGAAAAACAAGGAAAACAGCGATTCAAAAGAGCAACACAAAAGATTAGGTATTGAATCCAAAGAGCAGTGGCAAGCAAACACGCAGAAAATCAAGCAAAGCATTCGAAGCAAACACGCATGTTTTATTTCACATGGCTGCACAATGTGGGTTTGGTTCAAGGGTTTGTGCTACTGGCTGTATGTTTCTCAATTTTTTCGGACCTTCAAAAGGCCATAAACTGTTCATAGGCCATTACTTACTGCTGGATGTGGGGCTTCATGGCTTCTGTATCTGTTTGTACTTCAACTTCCTGGAGTGGCTCCATCCACTCTCCGTGCTTGAAGCATATTGGAGTGTATGCTCACCTAGTCCAACACTTCCTTGAGAGGGTAGCTTTGCAACACCTAGTCCCAGGCACTCGGTGTGCCAAAACAGCTGTCCCATTCCAAGCGACTAGTCCCATCCCACGCGCGTTTCATACCCGCGGCACCACGGAACCGGATCGGATCTTCCTGCACTTCCTCAACGATGTCGTCCGGAACGTACAACGTGTCCAGTGAGCTCTCATTCACTGAGCGGTACGGCTCCTGGCAACGACGTCCCACGTTGGGCGACGAAGCACCAGCGCTGTCCGACGCAGCAAAAACCATTCAGGGGGGGCCATTTCACATATACAAAAGGAATTCAGTTAAGGGGTGTCCCACATGGTCTAAAATGGGCGCAGGAGTGCTTTTCAAACGTTTTCCTAAAGGACTGACCTCCTCCATCATAATCCCACGTGGATGGAGGAGATCACTTTGGACGACACGCCTTTTGGTTTTATTTGGATATATATATATATACTATTTATTCGAAACTAGTTCAATATCTGAAACATGTGGAAACTGAAACTAGTTTTATTGTACTGCTATAAATTAATTTCGTATCACGTATTATGAAAGATTGAAGGCCTGAAACAAAATCCCCAGTTGAGGTCCTGAAGCATCCCGTATCATTGCGAGACACTCCACTGAGTGTCTAAGAAGCAAACAACATGCACCCGCTGTCTCAGCCACGGTTGAGTGTACCTCACTGCTTAACCTGCTGTGTCACATATGAGCCACGGTGTCTACCACTGCTGTCTACCTCGCACCGGCTAGGTCTCAGCCACGGCTCCAAGCCGCTTGCCGCGAAGCACTCGTCGATCATCTTCAGGCGGTTGGCCTCGTGGGCCGAAAAAAAGCGGTTGGGTGGGCCGTACCGTTTCCGTGGTGCTTTTTGTTGGGGACAGCTTCGGATCACTTCATAAGAACCTTTGACAGAACCTGGCGATGCAGATCCGAAGTTCTGGGGAAGAAGTTGTCCACCGCAGGGGAAGTTTGATGAGGAAACAACCGCTTGTTGTCTTCTTTCCCGAGCCAAAGCGCAGCAAGGGCCCCGAAAACACCAGACACGGACACGTCACCCGGGCAGCCCAAACCTGTACTGTGACCGTGCGGCCTCGTCCTGTCCCTCTTCCATCGTTTCGGAGACCTCATTGTCCTGTCATGGCACCCACCGTTCCGAACAAGCATCGGACTTGAACGGCAAGCAATCAGTTAGGAAGTTAGGAGAAGGGTGTGGTGGGCGTCTCCGCGACCAACCAATGTGATTGAGGTCTGGTGATTCACCAGGGCCAAGTGACCATCATCCAGGTCTTGGAAGAGCAGCGTGGGTTGACCGTGGTTGACCGTGAATTTGTTGGGCATCTACCCCCGTAGCCGACCCTCCCGTCGGAACTTGATATCTAAACTGGACACTCCTGAAAACTGTCCTGAACATTCCTGAACGGGTTTATGTTTGTAGATGTGTATGTTTATCACTATGTTTATCTAAATCTACATCTGAATCTAAATGTATATATTATATGTGTTATATATATATATATGTATGTATGTATTACACCTGTCTATCTATCTATCCTGTATGATGTATCATACTGTTGATGGACAAAATCCTGCACCACTTTGCGCACAGTTTTCTTGCTGCCCTCGTTCACCCTCATTGATATTGGGGCCACCACAGTGGGAAAATTAAAACAAGTTGAAGGTCCAAAATCCTGCACCACCTTTTCAAAGGGGTCGCGCCAACATTGAATGAGGGGGCGCGGGGGTTTCTATGCGACCCTTCCAGGGTAAAGTGGTGAGGTGGTGCAGGATTTCGTCCATCAACAGTATCAATGTTTCAATACTATGTGGTGTTCTATTGTGTGAACTATTGCGTAAATATACCCGTGTGAAGAACAATCAGTTGACGTTCGACCATTGCATCCTGTCGTAGGGAGTGAGGTAGTTGAGGGTCTAGAATATGAGGGGACTCAAGTTTCAGGTCCACAAAATGAAGAGGGCCTACACCACCAGCAAGGTGACTTGTTTTGGCTACAAAATGCATTGAAAACGGGGAGTGTCAATTATGCACAGACCTAGGGTCCTGCTAGAAATTTACTTGCCCAACGTGCATCGCGCATTGCTTTACCGCTTTTCAGCTACATCATCAACTGTAATCAATCACAAGCTGACTACAAAATGGCTGGGCTGCCCAAAAGTCAAATTACTACAATGATGACTGTCCAAAAATAGATTTCACTACAGAATGCTCTTTATTGTGGCCTCAAGGCCAGTCATTCTTTAGTGGACACTCATAGATGGATATTCCATCGGGGATGCATAAGTACAAAAAAACATATATGAAACTATGAGTTAACAATTATGAATACATTTCATATTTATATTTATATAATATATATATATACAGTACATATCAACACAATGACCTTGAATTTGAGAGAGGCAAAAGTCAGCCTTTGAAGCCTGTGACGTGGCTGGGGTGATTTGCTAGCTCTATAAGATCTATAAGTGGACCTGAGCCAAATTGTTTAAGACGCGCCTCCATGATGAGTTTCAAGCTTGCTGGATGTCGAGGTTCCACTTAACCCCGGCTCCAGCTGTGCCATCCGTTGCTAGCTCCTGGCATCCTTTTGCTACCATTCAGTCTTCCTTTCCACCAGCACGACTTTCCTGGGTAAAACACAAGTGGATTGCATTCTTGGAGTCTTGGGTCACCCAGATGTCTCACCTCCTTGCATCAAAGCACCACCCTGCCCTAAAACACCACAACACGTGCCGGTCCTCCAGCACCTCCGGTTCCCCCTCACTGCGCGACTCACGATCGCTCTGACTCGACCCGTGCGAGGCATTGAACGCGTCCGACATGGCGCGAGGCGCAGCCCACAGAGCGCCCGCCGCGGCGCGGTGGGAGCGGGTCCCGCGGCAGAATTCTGCGGGACACCATGCGCACAGCGGGAGAGAAGGTGCAGCCGAAGAACATAACGTGATCATACGTGATCTGTGAAATGTGTTGTGCTGTCGGTTTACAGTAATTACAGTAAACATGTTTACACATGTTTACACGACAAAGCATCCCACACTCACTCACCAAAGACTTCACAAACGAAAGAATCGAAAGGGTGGGGGGACAAACGGTGGTCCATCTCTCCACTGGGGGGCTTGTCGATTCCCAAGGCTTGTAATGCACATCGGTCGATTCCGTCCTCGTGGACTCCTCCGTCCTCGGAAGCTTTATTGCGCCCCTACTAGCGCTACTAGGACTTCAGGGCAGACCGTCCAGACGGTCTGACCGAACAAAAAGGTCCAATCTTCGAGCTGCACATCATTCCACATCCATGTCCCTTCGTACGATCCTCCCCACCAGTCCGGTACACAGCAAAAGGCCTGATTCGTAGACGCTCCGAAGTTGCTGCTCGTCCTCACGAGAGGATAGATTAGGATCGGGCTGTTGACACTGTCTGCCGCGGGACGGCCCTCCCACAAACGAGCGCGGGACGGCGCATCAAATCTGGATCCCAAACACTCCATAAGACTGGAAAATGTCCACCTTGGACCTTGACCTATGATAAACATATGCCATACAGTACATGGAGTGTTTGGTGAATACGATGTGATATAATACGATTGCCCTTGAACATGACCCTCCTCTATGATCAAATACCATCAAATACCATCAAACAAATCTCCTTTCGATGGGACAAAGGTCTTCGGCATCGGTACTTGACCGAAGACCTCGACTTGGGACATGTCGAGGGCACCATCTCCTCTCAGCTCTTGTGCAAAGCAAAAACCCATTGAAACAAACCCACATCCCAAAGACTCCATGGGAGTGTCATAGGACTGCCGCCCCAGAAAAAGAAAAACAACAACAACAATGGCACCACCACCCCTGGCCGTTTTTCGGCCAATATGGCAGTCCCATGTATCATGTCTGGGCATTGCACGCCACTGCACGCCACCGCGCGCGAATTCTCGCGCGAACCCTCGTCGGGTCCATTGGGTTTGATCGGTCAAGGAGGCCAAACTCCCAGCCCTCCGCAGGCGGCCAGACCTTGGAGGGCAGCTTCCAGACTGCGGTGTGGTGGGCGGTTGGGTCTTTCTATGTAGAAACCGCTGCACAATCCACCAGAACTGGGGCCTTCCGAGACTCCATAAGACTGTCAGACTTAGACAGTTTAAACAATTTAGTGATCAGTATATTATGATCACTGATCAGCAAACTACTGACTGGTAGACGACCCAAAAGAGAAGCACATGCCAAAACTCGATGTTTTCTGCCAAAGCAAAAGGCTCATGCACATCCCAAGTTACATCAGAACTTGTCACCTACCGTTGGATCCTTCGAACCGCTGAACCGGATAAACCCCCATCCATCGTCCATCGGCTCCATGGCCATGGCATCAAATACTTGTTGGGCACAACAAATGGTAGAACATTCCCAGTGTGAGCCCATTGAACCAATATTAAGTTGACATCCTCAGTTTGAGCCACCACGAGCTTCCCCGCATGCCCGCATGATTGTTGATCCTCGGGTCTCCCGGCTTGCCGATCGTCTGCCGGGCCAGACCGAACTGTGTGAGGCTTTGTTGCTTTTTCAGGCGCTGCACGGGGTAGACGCAGAGGATGCCTCGGTGGCTTCAAGAAGGGTTCAAAGTTGAACTTGAATGGAACATGACAAGCAACTCCCACTATTTGAGTAAGACTATTGAGTAACTCCCACTCGTTCTTTTGCTTTGGTCCAAGTAACTCATACAAAGCAAAGGAAACGCCATTCATGTATGAGTTACTTGGATCATCCAACAAAGCAGCTTTTGGCAAGCGCGGCATTGGAGGCTCCGCAACGTACATGCCTGGATACATGGAGCATTAGCTGCCCCTTGGGATTCACAAGTCCCAAACTGACGTTCTTGAATGTTCTTGACCACAGAATTGAATCAGCTATTTAAAACCAAAGGCTTGGAGCGTCCCAACAAAAACAACTAATTCGTTACACATCCCTTCCCCAAAAATAAGGCATCACGATCACAATGCTGGACTCCTTGCAAGGGATCAACCTCTTGCGTTTCCCCAACTTTTGAACATCAAACCCATGCTTGCCAAAGGGTTCTTGGTCCATTGCGATGTTCAGGAGTGAGTAAGGAACTTGTGAAAACACACCTCCCCAGTAGCACCTTAGTGCTTTTTCATTCACTTGAGGCTCAAGTCCTTGCTCCTCAACCCAGTACCAGGCACACATCGGCCCCACATCGCATGCGCCGTGCGACATTTCCGGCCATAGAGGGAGGCATTCCCCCAGGTGCCATCGAACCTGGGCAGTTGGATGCGATCACCACACACCGGTCTTCAGGCTGGCCTGAAAAACGGGCATGTGGCGTGCCTGGGACAGGTGACATGTCCCACCAACATAGAAATTGTTTCGTAAAACATCTTCCTTTCGCCTCTTCCTTGTTAAGCTTTGGGGTCGGCCTCCGACATCTGCCAAGCAGCATGTCGTGCGGGGACACCACCGCTTTCTGGATTCCTCGCAGCGGAGCGAGAACTAAACATGCAAAGACAGGGAAATACATGGGTGTGAGTGTGGATCAAAACCCTGTAACACACTGGTTGACACCTGAAAACAAACAAAATCCATCAAGTTCCTCTAAGAGGAGTGTCAACTTTGTATGGTGTGCAATTGTTTGCAGCTTGAGGTTTTGACCCACGGCCCACACCCACACAGCCTCGCAAAGCCTGGCTAAGTTTCCGCAAGCCATAGCAGGCCACCACCCCCGCAAAGCCACACAATGTGCAGCTATATAAATACGTTTCCTGTTGATATACCTGCTTGATTTGAAGGATGAGGTATGCTCGAGCCCTCTGCCTGAAAGCATTTTTAAACGAAAGCAAATTGAGGTACGTGCATATGTTCTACTGAATGGTACAATTTCCAAAATTACATCCTAAAGGTGGTTCATGTAAAACGCCATCTGAAGTGGCATTGTTGATTGGTTTCCCCCCTTTCTCCTTGTGCGGCGCATCTTCGATGCACCAAAGAAGGCAAGGAAAGTGGGCGAGGAAAGCAGCTGAGAAAGGCGGCCAACTGTTGTTTGTGGTCGTTGTTGTAATTAATGGGAAACTGGAAAAACAACACTGGCAAACAACCAGTGGGATGGTGTTTAGACCCCACGTGTGTGGGACCAAGTGCACCCCTGCCTTCGTTTTGGAGCAGCACCCCCGTTTTGGAGCGGCAACCAACATCGTCACCAAATGCCGAAGATGAGCTGTTTGTGAGAATAACTCGCTCAAACAACCTGGAGAAAAACACCTCTCCACATAAATCAACACACCAAAACCGAACATCTGGCTTGCGTCCATCGTCCGTTTGTCCCGGTCCTAAGGTGTTGGTGTGGAACAGCTCACCTCGAGATGGCGACACACACACTGCAGCTCTCCACGGCACAGGTCGAGTTACTTAGTTGGGCACCCCAGTCGGAACACACCTAAAAGATCAAATCCTAAAAATCCTACCGGGCTTGGACTGAGGCAGAAGTTCTTTCACCAGGTGCTTCTAGTTGTATATACGTGGGGTGAACTTGTGAACTCCACGTCCATGTTAGTTTTTGGAACATTTCCTGGATAGATAGATAGATAGATTAATATATTAATAAATGAATATATTAGATAGCTAGATAAAAAAATACAATTTGACAAAGTAATGACGGTAAATACAAAATAGTAACAACAACAAACATATAAACAATAGATATAGATATAAAACCAGAATAAACCAGATATTATCTGATCGAATCCTCACAATCGTTCCTGAAACCCCACGGCCCAAAGCCCCACCATCTCCCACGATGTCCCACTTGGCGTGCGTGGGCCCAATGGCCCGAGCTGAGCCGAGCGGCAGCCGGTGGCTCCAGGGCCCACGAAGACCACATCGCGCCCGCAGTTGTTGCGCTCGGGAAGACCCAAGATACAGCGCTCCTTCGGTGCGCTCGGGCGGATTGTCTCCCCACTGGGAGCGCCCACGTTTGGGGAGTGGGAGGTTTGCTTGTTTCTTTCCAACTCCCCAAAGACTCAAACTGAAACGGGCCGATTGTTGAAAAGGGGTCAATGTATGGCATATCTGTATGAATGGGAGAATCTTCTGCCCAAAGCCCCCCACCAAACCTCACTCTGGGATCCTCATGAATTCATGAAACTGAACTACAAAAGAGGATCAAAAAGGCTGGACATCTTCCCCTCGAATTGAGTTCAAGCCGAAGCCAAGTTGCTGCGTACTCGTCGAAGGTGGCTGGCCGAGAGCAGGGATACTTCTGAGATGCTGAAATCCTCGGAGCTGCTGCTCTCTTTGGGAAAAGCGGGACAAGACCGTCCGAGATGCGAGAGCAACCCCCCCAAAAAAAAGAAAATGGTGTGACTTCGGATAACATGCAAAGGCTGTGTTCGTCTCCTATCAGCCTCTTCCGATATATCTTCACCTCAAGTTGAAGGATTCTTGAACTGCGGCTTCACCACTCAAATGGTTGGAGCTGACTGAAGCCAAAATGCTCGGTTTCGGATGGCCACAACCGCAGTCGTGCAGCTTGCAAGAACCATGCATATCTAGTAGAAGTTCAAACCCCTCGAAAGGTTGGAGTTTTGAGGATTTGTGCCTGAAACCTGGCCGCAAAAGAAAAGCAGCAACTCCGATCCATGACACGAGGTGGTTACCACGGGTGGTGAATCCCTCTCTTTTGATCAGTTCTTAGATAAATGACAATGATAATGGTTATCGATGTACAATGATGTACTCCATCATGTCGGCCGTTCCAACCGCCACCCAGCAACACATGCTACTAGTATAGACCTTCACCCTTCAACCCTTCATAATATCATTATATTATCGTGTATTATCCCGGAATTATCCCTATATATCCCTTGATATCATTCTTTCCCCGAACCCAAAACAGGTCAATGCCCATTCGTCCAGCATGACGAACATGACACCGGGGCGTGCCATGTAGAACGAAGGCTTCCGAGCTGCATCATCATCCGATCCATCTCCCCGCCGGTGAAGGCGCGGCCGTCCATGTCGAACTCTGCGAAGCCCACGAACCTGAGGGACGGTCGCCGGGTGACGTCGGGCCGGAAGACACGAACAAGGTTCCACGACATGTGCTATTATGTGACCCAAACACCCAAAGGAGCAACTCGTTTCCAGTCTTCTCCAATCCATTGTTTTAACTCAGTGAGTGAAACAAAGAACTTCCTGCGCTGCATACTTTTATGGCGGGAGAGCAAAACCATGGTCTTTGCTGCAGCTTTATATCATCCAGTTGTAGGATGACCATGGACGTCCTGTGTTGACTCAAGCAAAAAGCCAACCCTTTACCGACTAATGCCTCTGCATGGAGATCTTTGACAATCTAGGTAGGAGAGGCTTGATCAATGCAACAGCCACCATCGAATTCTCACCCACGTTGCAGAAAGGCAGCTTCTAAATAATATAAGAGGACACTTTGCATGTTGCGACACTTCACCAAGACTTGGCACATGGAGTCACTTGGACCGGGGAGAGTCACTTGAGAGTGACTCCATGGACTTTGCAAATTCCATCTCTTTTCATTTTTTCCACCTTGGCACCAGTCCATGGAGTCCCTCTCCCCTGCCCGTCACTACGTCACTTCGCCCAGCCACACCACCTTGCCCGGCCGGGCCGAGAGCGGTGGTGCCTTCCGAGACAGCTCCTCGGGCGAGCAGCCGGAGCGTGGCCCGGTCTGTGGCGGGCCGGGTCATGTGGTCGGCCGGCTTTTTGTACCAGCATGTCCAACAAACTAAATCTATAATTACAGATGCTAGTAGCAAGCCCTAATACCCTGCACATCCCCTCACCAAAGCCACAACACCTGCAAGTGGTGCGGGATGGCCAACACTGACACCTCGTGGAATTTTTGTTGTGAACTGGATGGTTCATGGGAAAATTCATCATGACGACCAGTATTTTAGGGCCCGACCGACTCCTATCCTTTCCTCTCCAGCGCGGTGTTTACATCAGCCTCTGGTCAAACAGTGGTCTCCGGTCTCCACACGCCCGTCTCCGGTCTCCCGGCCGAAGGCGGTCGATGCGACCGCTTAGGACGAAGCCGCGTGATCTCCGTGAAAGCGGTCGATCTGCTGGTGAGGTCCAGCCCGCGCCTGTCCACGGAGCTGCAGGCACTTCCGTGCAAAAGCCTTTCCACATGTGGACGATACATCTCACCAAACATCTTCCATGGTGCCATGATGCATCTGCAGGTTGGTCAAAAGATTTGTACAAGTAGGGATTTGTGCAGCGCATCTGCGCGGACATGACATGATCTGCAAGATCTATAATTATAAGCATCCTCCGCTCTCTCCTGCAGGCGTTTGGAGACTTCAAAATCACGCAACGGTCCCAAAAAACCTCTCCTTTCTCCCACGGCACCAGTCTCCAGGAATAGAACGATAAGTATACTGTACGATACTGTACGGTATTCTTGGGCCTCTTCAAGAGCTCCCCCCTCCAAGAAACAAACGGTGTGCCCCTTCACACCCCACACCCCTCACAACACCTGACAACTAACCATATAAGATGATACCATATAAAGATATATAAAGTATATACATTATACAAATGCATGTAGTACAACACCAAAAAGAAACCACCCTCACCCATGGCGGTCTTCTGCCCCAAAACACTCCATCATTCCCACCGGGCCGTCACCGGGGCCGTCACCGCCTCGACTCGACGTGCTCCGACCGCGACGCGAGACTCGAACGACCGCCTGTGGCAGGCCCGAGTCCGAGAAGTCGGACCAAAGTTCCGGCATCTTCTGGTTGATGCTTCCTGAGTCGGACCGCTTTCGCCCCCCCCCCCCGGAGCGAACCGCGAGCGCGAGCGCGCGCGGAATCGCCGCGCGGAATCGGCGCGGAAGGCGCCGATCCCGCGTGGGCGACCGGCGATCAAGGCGCCGATAAGGGGCGCGGCTGAGCGTATGGCTGATTCGAGCGGGTTTCCAGGGTCTGTGGAGCCGACCGATTCTTGTTTTCTGATTTTTCTGGTGTCTTTTTTTGGGGGGAGAGCTGAAGCGAAGCGAAGGAAGAAGAAGGAAGAAAGGAGAGAAAGGAGCAAGCTCGATTTTCTGCTTCATTCCAGTTTTCTTGCAAGATCAGAACGCTGCAGCTTGATGAAAAGGAGAGGTCAAAGGAAGGCCACAAAGGTATACAAAGGTAGTATAAGGTTGGTGAACGGTTCGAAGGTGCCTGCAAAGGCATTGACCCCTTAATCGCACCTCTGATCAAAGATCCCCTTGGATCCTTTCAGTTTCAGAGTCGCCCCTTGGCCAACACCTTTCGAGCCGCCCAAGGCCTTGAGTCCAAAAAAATCGTGACCGACGCCTTCATGTCCGGGCGTAAGTGAACAACAAACTCAATCAGTGAGCTGATTCAAGTACCAAATGAGTCCAACCCACCCGAACACTGCAGCCCACTTAAAGCGAAAGCGATCGAAAAAACGGGATGACAACTTGTCTTGACCATAATAAGAGGAATTGGTGGGGACGCAGCCATATCACCAGCCGTCCTTACATTCACAATCATTCATGGATATTGGGTCTATATGAGTGTAACATTGTGCAACCATGAGGAACCCCTTAATTAACAAATGAGGGCCACTCAAGAGTCCGTCCAAATGTATTTGCCACTAGGTCGTCCCTAGATCATTGAATGATCGAACCAAGCGTGAAGAAACCAGCACCAACTGCAAGCTGAAGTTCCCCTTCCGGCCCTGCATGGCCCTGCTATGGCACACCTAAATGCAGGCATCTCACCTGCCACTCGCGCTCCGAAAACGCGTTTTTTTCCGCGTCCACCGAGCGACGGTGGAACAAGCTCTGCCTGGCCACCGGGAAGGCGCTGAATCCACTCGGCAAGGTCTGAAGACCCACGTTGAGCCGTCGCTCCTGGGAACGGATCTGGCCAAACCCTAGGTTGGGCCGTGATCCAAATACAAAGAAACTTATGTCTTATCACATATAATATTATAACTTTATAATGTACATTGACATATATGATATATATATATATATATAACGTCAACAGCGGATTAATCAACCCCCCCCTTCAAGGTCAACGAGGTTTGAGATTGGAGGTGTTAGAGACCATATCCCCTCAATAAAGAGCTGGCATGAGAAAAGGGTGGATCAAATCAGTATCACCATGGACCAAAAAGTGTTGGATACTGACCGAAAAGAACGTAAACAGTAAATACATATATAATTAGAATAGTAAACATTGTTTTTCTGGTGCAGCTGAGCTTGATTAATAGGGGGAGGCTTCTGCCAGGAAAACACATATTGGGGTATTCAGGTTTTAAACGAATTTAGTATTGGGGGCTCGAGCTGGGCTGGGCTTGATTGACAAGGGGAGGAGGTTACTTAATCCTGTGCCAACATTATGCACATCCTCTTTGGGGATGTCACAAGGTCACCCTTGCCATGCCCCGTTGCCATCCCCTCCTCCGAGGCCACGCCATGACCGGAGCGTGGCATCGCCGCCTCGCCTCCAGCAGTGTCGGGGTGAGCGCAACCCTGAGCTGATCGCCATGTTTTTCCATTTTTAAGACGCAGCTAAATGGATACCCAAATTGATTCCAAAAAAGGTAGAAAGCTGAACTTTATTTGTTATTTTCTTGAACACAGCTGATATTGATGCTTGCTTTGGGCCAACCGGCAAGTCTCATGACTGGTGGCTCTTCTTGTGTGCCTCCGCTGTGTGAACAGAATTTCAAAAGTTGGATTGCGTTGGCATTCTTCAAGCACTTCTTATACCCTCCACCAACCCCCTCAATACCCCCTCAATCACCCCCCAAAGTACTGAACACAGTGCGCCAAAAGAAAAATAACTGTGCCGTTTCGTATGCCTCTACAATACACCATGCCTCCACAATCAGTTCTCTCACTGACTGGCACGTCTGACGGGGGCAGCGACCAGTGCCGCCCCTGCAGGTCGGGACCTCGCGACGGCCCTCGGCCCGACGGCCCCTTTGGAGCCGAAATGCTGCCAAAAAGGCGACCAGGTGAGAAGACGAGACCAATATTTTTGGATGACAAGTTTGGCATGCAAAGGGCACATCACGTTATAAGTTATATATATATATAGGTTCGCAAGTGAAGTGATGTTTTTCAGTGAAATGGACGTCCATTGCGGGTGTGGGGCATGGAGGCGTACAAAGGCTAGAGTTGAATGAAACACTATCTGAAAGAATCCTTGTCCAAATGTAAAATATGTCTTTCGTTTCAGAAGCACAAAGGTTGCCTATGGAAGATCAATCAAGACTTTGGTATGCCTCAGCAACTGGTCAAATTTTACATGATTTCCAGCCCAAACCTTTCCAGTCAAAAGAATTCAACAGATCTGCAAGCTGCCCTGCTGTCTTAAATTTTATAAACTGCATCTCGCTCCACCATCGTCCGCAGGTCCGAAATGTCTGCGGGGCAAAAGATAGGAGCCTATGTACGCCGGAGGGGTGGCGAAAGGAACAGCTTTTTCATGGCAATGTATGCAGTTTGACACGTGGCGTGAGATGATCGTCTCCAACCCTGATCATGCTGAGATGATAGTCCAAACGCTTCAGCTCACGACCTTTCCTCACAGAACCCACCATGAGCTGAAGCGACTCTGCGTCACTCCTCCGTTGATCACCTTTGGCACTGCGATTTCGCAGTGACAGCAGTGCCACTCGCAGTGACAGCAGTGTCACTGGATGTGCGGTGCGCAGACGCAGACCGCGCCCTTTCTCAGCCTTGCAGATCACCTCGTACAGCCAAAGCAAGTCATTCCAAACATGCCGAAACAGTAGAATTTCCACTACCGGCCTGGTTGAGCTGCTACTGAACCCACAACTGTCCCCTCTAGTGTCAAAGTAAAGCCTGGGCATAGTCTCCCTCTCTGAATATGCATCTCTTCATTCATAGGCACCGTTTTCACCCTGTACCAGCGTGGTACACCAGCGATCGACATGACACTCAGTGCTGACCCGCTGTTTCCCTGGAAAATCAGTGAAGCTTCTGGCGTACGGACCATGAAGCTTCTGGCGTACGGTCGCGATTCCGGTCGCGATTCCGGTCAGAAGTCCGTCAATTGGGGATGGAGAACTCCTAGTAGTGGATGAAATAAGCTGGAGAACTCTTAATTTGACCGACTGACCAGTACTAGATCATGTCCACATGTGATCAGCTTTACGTGAATCTGTACGTTGATGCAATGAATTAGTGTAAACAAAACCAGTCAACGGAGTCAACGTGGCTTTCCCCGACCTCCTCCTCACTAGGCCCAGGCCGACCTGTTGCCCACTGCACCGAGGATTGCAGGGGCTTGATCTGCCATGAACAGCTTGACTGCGGAGAAGGTAAACCTGCCAGGAGGATGCGTAGCATGGGTGGGAATATAAAGCTAAATCATGATCCCTTATAACACTCCAATTAATAGGATCACTTCACAACTACACCAAATGTTCTCTCGACTTAAGCTTGCATTCGGTGCTTCAAATTCTAAACACATAGGCACTATACCATCAGCCTCAAGAACCTACAAGTGTTCAGTTCTGGAAGCTGCTGGTATAGGCATTTTGCCCGGCCCACTCCCTGCCTCCTTCGTCGGAGTCGCTCTCCAACGGCATGGAGGGTAAGGAACGCACGCGGCGAACCTCCATTGCCGAAACATGCCGAAACGGTTTTTTGAGGGGTTGAAACGGGTTGAAAAGGGATTCGCCCAAGAACGGAACTGGCCAAACAACTTCTCAATGTTATATTCTCTTTGTGTGTTCTGGAAGAGGTTTTCACGTCCTTTCACCAACCAAAGCCAGGATTTTAGATTGTGGAAGTGTATGTCAGTCTGTTGAGTCAAAAATTTGGTTTTGGTATGTTTGGGTTGGGTTACGGATGGTTACGGTTTGTTGTGCATGGTCTATTGAAATTACTTTGGAAAACAATGTTTTCATGATGCTGGTAGTGGCTCACACCTGAACCATCTCACCATTTTCTTGATTCATTTGCTTCAAAAAATCAACAGTTCTTGGAAGGTCCAAACATGTCCAAACAAGGGGTACCTCAATACTCCTCAATATTTGTTACATTCGCTTTTGGAACCTCTCCTACCATCGTTCACCGAATTCTTCCCGAGCCACTCGGACATCCTTCGATGGCACCTTGAGGTTTGGGTTCGACGAGGCCATCATCGGTGACATGTCCATCGCAGATGTTCGAGAATCTCCACTCACCTCTGTGCCGGTGCGTTGGAAGCCCGTTCGACGAACGGCCGGCGGAAACAATCAGTGGACAGAAGCGATGCGACTGTGGGCGTGTGTTGGTGTTGGTCCAAATCCGGTGTTGGCGGCGAATTGGTGCCAGAACCCCCCCAAAAAAAACAATAGAAATGTCTATCAGTATCACATTATAGTAGATGCAAACCATTGCAAACCATTTGTCGAAACAGGTGTCGAACGACAGCACCCACGAAGCCGAACTCCGGTGGGTGCCTGACATGGTTGTAGACTTATAGACTCATAGACCCACAACATGGACCCTCTGTTTCCTCATTCCTTTGTAGATGAATCAATTTTTGGCATCCTTTGGGGGTGAAAGCAGAGGTGGCCACACCCACCTGGCGCCTCTCGATGGAACTCTTGTGCCTGCAGCTGTTGTTGCAGCAAGTGCTGGACGCACTCCTGGAGCACCGGGTGGACCAGGTGGAGCACGTGGGTGAGTTTTTCCTGTCCTGCAATGTTTGGAGATGTTATATACAAATACCTTGGCTCTAGAGCAGGTTGGGTGGTGCTTGGATGGTGCTACAGTAGCTTGGGTGGTGCTACCTGGGTGCTTGGGAGATACACATGGCCACAGTATAGCTTGGGTGTTGCTTGAGTTGCTACCTTGGCTAATCAGTGGCGCTAACACGGGCGTCCATCGCCACCAATCCTGGCACACCGGACCGGAATGGCCACTTCTTCCCGCACATGGCGCCGGGTCGTCCAAAGACCTTCCCTCAAAGGTCGTCCAATACTTCCCAGACACTCCATGGGACTGCCATATATGCCTACATTGACCCCCAAAACCACCCCAACTGATCGGCATATATTCCATACATGGAGTGGCTGGGATTAGCATGACCAATGTTGAATCCATCTTCAATCTGCGATCTATGCTCCCTGAAATGATCATGGCTACATGGAGAACGCATAGCCCCGATTTCCGATGACCACCATACGCAATCCAAAAACCAAACAGATCAAGCAGTGATTGGTGGCTATCCATGTTATCCACCATCAGGAAGTGTTAGATCCACCATAGACTCAACCATCGCTCGGTTTCGGTGCTTCAAGCAGCTTGCATCTCCAAACAGAACAAGATCCTCAACTCCGATCTTTTCGTTTTAGGCCTTTCAGGCCGTGGCCCCAAAAAATAAAACAAACAAATACCTTCCCCGTCGTCTCCTCGACAGTCCAGGGAGTGGACAAAGAGTTCTCCGGAAAGCCATCGCCTTGCAGGTATGGCAACCAAATCCTTTGGTCAGTACATGCCGCTGAAGTTTGCAACTGTTGGTGGATAGTGATGGTATAGTATTATCAAGGGTCAAAATGTCTTGAGCAATCCTAACAAACTCCAGTTACTTCTTATATCTGTTTAACTTTTAATTCTTTTTATATTCATAAGTGGCCAAGACTTCCAACTGAATACAGTAATTAAATGTCTTAGCATGATGCTCAAGACTGCATCTTCTGTCTCGGGTGCGCCACCCGGACCGCATCTTCGCCTTCCCGGCCGCACTTTCGAACCTCCCTCCGCGCACCTCCCTCCGGAAGGCCAGGTGGGGGTGAAACGTTCGAACCGCTGTGCCCCTCTTGTGAGGGCTAGCTGGCCACCATCGACCCCCGTCGATACCGAGAATTCGAGGAGAGAGCCGTCACTCATGAGCCAGGAATGTTTAAGACACTCAGTGGCCAGCTGAGTGTCTTGGATCGCATGTAAGTTCTTCACATTCTTACTATAAACCATCTTGATCTGAATCTCATCTACTTCGTTGAATTCCAGTTAGCAACTGAGTTAATAAGCATCCCCCTGTGGATTCCAGTTACAATGTATCTTACGAAGTTCACTTCAGCACGACACGGTCTCGACTCGAATTCTCTTTTCTCTTCGCACGCCGTGTCCGGCTGTTGGGTGGATGTTCCGGTGGGCACTGTGGGTGCTCCGGTGGTGTCCCGAACACGAAATAAAGAACCCAACAACTCGTATGAAGTCCATTGAAGTCCCAAAACAGGAGAACACAGAAGGATTAATCACATGAGAATCACATATCCTAGCTTTAACATGCCTTTCGTGGGGTAATGAAGTTCATTGAAGTCTCTAGGTGGACATCACTGGCTCTAAATATGAGTTCAATCGAGTCTTACTATGCTGAAAACAAAACTACGGCTCCTCCTGGTGGTTTGGAAGAAACTACCCCTACAGGCACCAAGGTCACCAAGAAGAACCAATAATATTGGCATTGCAAAAACCCTCACAACACCTTAACATGGACCCTTGAAAGAGGCCTCTGATAGTCAACTTTACTTATTCCTCTACAAGCCAGTGATTCTGGACGCCTCTGCGCCGGTGTACGCATCCAAAGCCACTGCATTGACACATCACTTCCGACTATCACCCAGCAGCAATGCTCTCACTATGCAAGCTTGGCCTGCACACGGGTGTGGCTCCAACATGCTCCAACACTGGTGTGGCTCCAACACTGGTGCCATATGACAACAGTGAATGAATCTAAATTTACATCCATGATCTCAGCTAAGGCAGTCAAGGTTCTCCAAATCTCTGTAGCCAAACATCAGTGGTGCTCCTTTCTTGCTTTTTCAACCCTCGCCGACTCGCCCCCTTCATGTCTGGCGCTGGACCCTGTGGTGCAACACCGGCCTCATCGCAGCAACTCGTCGCTGCCGTTGCTCCGCGCCGGCGAGGACTTTCGCTGGTGCAGTGGTGCAGGCTGAACCAACGCCCGGGCATCGACCTCGGAGCCGCTGAGCCGGATGTGGGGCTAGCTGTTGGGGTTGAGGTACTGCCGTGGGAGCGACCAGGACCAGCGGCTCCCCTGTTGAAACATGGAATATATTGCCATGGATATACCCTTGGCTCGTAGCTCCCTCGCACCAGCTAGGGGTGTCAAGAAACGTTTTTTGAAAATAAACAACTCGGGGACTCGGGGTGAGGAAATTGGACCGGGAAGACCCGCAGTCTGATTTTCCTCACGTTGACGAAGGGCTCACTTGGAACAAAAAGGTGCTCACACACACACACAAAAAAAAAAAAAACACGACTGGAACTGTTTGGAGTCCAAAACTAACTGTCCAGCGTCCCACATTCGCGGGTCCAACACTCCCACACCCGGTATAGTTATATTTCCTGTCTTCTGCCTCTCAAGCCTTCGGCTCCCTCGAACAAGTCATTTCCCAGCCGCTTGCTGCAGCGTCGGCAGCACCGCGTTGCCGCCCAGCCGTCCACGGTCCAAGGATGACGGTCTCCGACCACTACGCAAGCTGCCTCACAGGCCAGCGTGCGAGCGTGCGTGTAAGCATTTGGCAAGCTGACACGTCTTACGGAAGCGACTTTATACAATGGGTTTAGGAACATCATACATACTTGTCCAATGTTGTTCGATGTGAAAGAAGTGGCCGGACACATTCAGCAGCTACGACATGATTGAGGTTATTGCTGAGCATCCTGAAACGAAATCAATGTCCTGCACTTCCCAACCGAAAATCCGAAAACGCCTTGCGAGCTGCTTGACCGGTCGGCCCGGCTTTGCAAGCCATACGCCACGGGCAAGGGAAGGCCAGGTCGGAGCGGCTCCAAGGCCTTGAGAAAGGGCTCCGAGGCCTGCAGTGAGAGGACGGTCAAATCAGGCCAAATGGCGGGCCATGGGTAGACTGGTATATTTTTGGTCTTTCCAGTGATTTTTTGGGGGAGGTTTCCTGCCAGGAGTGATGCCCTCAAAGGGGCCTCCAGTCTGACCTGTGGACAGGAAGTTCCTGCAAAAGCGCCCCAGTGGGATTGCTCTCGCACTTGAGGCCAAAAAAGGCGTCTGGATGTCCGAGGTTCTTCCGGTACCGTTGGCGTTTGCTTCAAGAACTTCAACACTCATTTGCTTGAAGATGCTTATATATAATGGCTCATGGCTTCCTTCTCTCTCCTCATGCCATCCCAACAGGTCCAAGTTCTCTGTTTTGAAATGGTATCATCCAAGCTCCAAGCTGCCGTGATGGTGAGGCGCCGTGCAGGGATGTGAGCTGGACGCTCTTCCAGTTTAGACTTGGACACCAGCAAAGGGCTGCTGAAGGGTGAGATGGACATCTGCTGCCTGGGAGTCGATACCAAGAAAACTGAACAGATCACTCAGTGGTGGAAACCGCCTTAGATTGGATGAACATTGCATGCTATTATCTTGCTATTAGATGGGAACACCGTACCTCTTTTGAATGGCTTGGGGAAATTTTTCGGGGTTCCACGATTCCACCCCCTGGTGTTTCAACCCCTTCCAACTTTCGTCATCCGAAGGGGCTCGTAGCCGCGCTCTGCTGGCGCCATGAAGCGACTGTAGTCCACCTTGTTCTCGGGCTCCGACGACTTCCTCCGACTGGACGGGCTTGGCCGCGCGGTGCTGGGTCTGTTCATGTCATGTCCTTTGCCTAGAAAGGGGGTAATGATAGGCGGCACATTTCAACTCATGTGGTGGCTGATCAATATTCTTTCATCCTGGAATGGCCATTCATCGCGGAAAAAAAGATATCTTTCGCGGATCTTTCGCGGCCTCATCGCGAAGCATGGTCCTACAACCATGTCTAGCTAACATGAGCCGGAACACGTCATAATAGGGAGAGACGTCTTGCAGCATGACCCCAGTAGATGGTGAACGTTTGCACAGCTACTCAGGGTCACTTGCAGCATCTGTGCGACAATTGTGCCAAATAGAGTCAGGCACAACTCAACCCAATCCTTGTGTCAGCTACCAACACAGGGTGATGCAGCTTGGGGAATGTTGGGGGCCTCAAGCTGGGAACCTAGACTTTAGCGGCACATTCGCGAAACTTTTGCGGATCTTTCGCGAAATTTCACTGGTGCTTTCCCCGGGACGCCGTAACATTTGCAAACATCTGCACAGCCCGTCAGAGCAGCGGCAGGTCGTTGCCTCACTGTCAGGGCTGCGCCTACCCAGCTTGCTAGTATGTGACAGTGGGGACAGGAATCGGAGAATCCTTTACGCACTGCCAGGGCTGGGCACGGAAAGGTTGAGGCTTCAGTTCGTTAGTCTGTGACATGGGGACACTTCGCCCACTGGCTCTGCCGGAGGGTTGCCTTGCGTTTCTATTCTTTGTCAGTCCGGTAGAAAGGAAAACAATGAAAGCGATGACCTTCGATAAATCTTTCGCGGAAAAAAAAGATACTTTCGCGAACCTCATCGCGAATCTTTCGCGGATGGTTCTAACAACATCTGAAAGGCTGTTTTATATAAAACTCCTTACACGGGGTTTTCGATCAACTCCCATGTATCATATGGTACTCCAAAATGGTGGGAATAGGGCCACAAATCTATACCGGTATCTCTTAACAATACCTTTCAAGATCAATTCTGGCATTCTGCGGTCCCAACTCTGCCCGATTATTTACTTCCACACCACAGGTCACACATGATCTATACATCTGTAGTGCATGTGAATGCATTTGAAACATGCAAGAGGGATCAAGAGGGTGTCCCCGTGAATTTCCCGTCTACAAGGCAGCACCAACCCTCACCCTGCCCTGCCCTCCGCCCTCCTCAGCCGTGTGCGGCGCGGAAGCCCAAGGCCCTCGCCCACCATCTGCGGCACTAGTGCATCCGCGCCGGGGCCCATGGCCGCATGAGACGCTGGCGGCCCAGACGAAATGCTGTCCTCATGCTTGGACATCGCGTGGGATGAGGAGCGCCCATCACCTGCGCGGTGCGGCTGCAAGCAGGATCGTGGAGCATCTGGATCTGTAGACTCTTAGATTCTTGATTTAACCCCCCCCCTTATGTAAAGAATATCTTTACCATTATATTTTATATTAAACATATTCTTTAACACACATGTTTGTCCGCAGCGGACACCTGTGATTCCGCCGGTTTCGCCGCGCAGGTTCAGCAAATCATCCGCTGAGTGATTCTGCTTGGCCAAGGCGACCATGGGCAATTTCCTTGGCATCGGGTTGACCAACCTCCCTGGAACTCCAAAGATCTTCAAACAAGTGGTGCTCAGCTCAGCTGCTGAACTTGACATGCCCCAAAAGCCAGGCCCTACAACTACGATCACATGTTTCAATCCGTGGTTTGTTAAAGGCTTTGAAGCCACCAAAGCCAAGTTGGCTGTCATGTTCTAGAATAACGCCCCACAACTCACATCCATCTCACGATCTACTCAGTCCAACCCACCCCGGAGACCCGGCACCTCCGCCGGAGACCCGGCGCGTCCGGCT